GTTTTTTTTTTTTTTTTTTTTTTTTTCTTTTCTTCCCCATCCAGCGGGCGCAGGGGCTCCTTGCTGCTGTTTCCATCACCTGCCTCAGCCTCCAGGACTGACGCCTGTAAAGATATGCATGTGTTTATTTTAATGTGAGTGCAGAAATGAAGAGTGTGTGTTGATTAACCCAGTCTGGGGCTAACCCTCCAAACTCCTCCCCCAGTTTGGTGTAAGCATGTTGGTGCAGAGCAGCTGTTTCAACCAGGCCACTCCATTAGCACCTCAAACTTTGCCTGATTTTTTTTTTTTTCCTTCCTTCATTGTCTCTGACTAAATCAAACCCTGACAAAGTATGAATGAGGAAGTTTTTTTTCCCCCTACTATTTTTGCAGATCAGATCTTTTTTCCCAAATGCACTGCCAGCTGCTGCAAAATCCCCAGAAAGGAGAAGATGGAGTCTTTGAAAGAGATTTTTTTGCCAATAATGGTGCAGTCAAACATGTTCTATACATCTCAGTTTATTGCTTCATTTATTGCTTTTACATTATTTGTCTGCTTCTCCTCAATGCAAGTGCCACTCCATCCACATCTGCAGTGACAGATGACACACTGCAGCCTCGGCCTGTTTCTGGTCTGCCTTTGGCAGCCAGACTGGAGGCAAAGTGTTAATGCTGGATTCGTGTTTGAGTATGCTGTGTGTGTTTATTGATCTTAAAAAAACAACAAAAAAAAAGGAAAATAGACCAGTATTCTTAGCAAATTATATTCTTTTTGTTTGCTTTCAGTTTATCTAGAACCTGCTATACACCTGTACAACCTCATGCTGCTGTAAGCAGCTGAGTCCGCAGTGCACTTCCCAGGTGCCCCAACTCGATGCACAACCAACCTCGCTACTGTTTTAAGATCTAAAGTCCAGAACATGTCATAAATGCGCCTGGATGTTTCAATCCACACAAATTATGGCAAAGACAGTTTGCTTCATCTGCTTTTAATTTTTTCTTAAGTAAAATGAACAGTGGGTCAGATGCACTTCTTTAGAAAATACTGCAGTGTGTATCTACAGTATGAGTGTGTCCTGTTCTTTTGACAATGGTGTGGAGCTGATACTTTTATTTCTCTACATTCAGAGGGCCTGCACAGGAAATCAGAGCCTTTATGGTGCTGTGTTTTGTTCCAACCTAATAAGGACAACAGGACTTGTACTAATAGGAAGGAACAAAGGCACACTTTTTTTTTTTAGCTTTTCAGGATCCTAGTTGGCGCGGAATGTGGGAAAAAAGGAGGCTGATCGAATTGTGAGTTATGGGGTGAATAAACCCTAAACAGCTTTGATTTTCCAACCTTCAATTGGAAGTACGCCTACACCCACAGGTCGTAAATGCAGTTTTTTTCCCCTATTCTTGTAGCATTTGATATTATGCCACTGGACGTCTGTGTGCTTTTATCCTTCAGACTAGAAAGCACTGGATGAAACTATCATGTGGCACTACTGAAAATCAGACCCATATTTGCTACAGAATATTAATTGTAAAACTGATTAAAGTCTCCAGCTGCAGATGTTTTAACAATTTAAGGATGGATGAGCTAGTCTCTCTGAGTGACACTACAGTACCTTGTTCATATTCTGGGTTTATTGCCTATTTCAGCTGAGTTACTTCGCCCCAGGGGTCCACTGGAAGGGAGAGTAGGTAGATGTTTACAGTTACCACCCACACAACAGCCTGTGTATGTACGTTTGTGTCTGTGCATTTGGAACAATGGATCAGATGACCCTTTTTTTTTCCAGATTTTTATACATGTCGTTCTAGTCATTGGATGTGTTGAGAGCTTTTGTTTTCCCTTCTTGTGAACCATCTGTTGGGAAAGGGGTCTGTGTGAGTTGATTTATTACCACATTAGTTTTATTTTTAATTTCTCTGCTACTTTAGCCCATCCAGAGGTGTAACAAGAATGCTGAGCATGCGAAAGCAATCTCTACTCTGAACAGCCAGCTGTTACCGTTGCTGCTCATCTGACACTGATTAGATTGCGGTTATCAGTCCTTTCAAACGCCTGGTTTGTTCTGGAAGTTTAAATCGTCTCTTCCTGCGTTGGACACCTGTTTGTCCTTTTCTTCTTTTATACACTGACTACTGAAGGATGACAGGACTGGGTGGGTTTCACCATAAAAATGTAGCTTATCTTACTCTTTCAAACCAGTTGTCACCATGAAGAGGGTTTTAGGTTTTGATGGAAAGGACCTGCTATCTTTTTTGTTGTTGTTGATTGTTTTAATCTTGTGAAACTGACAGTTCTATGATGTATATGGGCATTACAGCCTGCCACAGTGAGCCAAAGGGCTCTGTATAGATCATCAGAGACTGAAGGGCTTTGTCATCAATATCAGTCTGTAGCCATGGCTTGTGGTCTTAGTGTGTGGTGTCATAGTTTTACCCAGCTCTCTCTGGAAATGACATCTCTGCATTTACAGTAGAATCAGGTTTGACTTGACATACCGGTTCAGTGTTCACAGATGTTAGAAGCAGGTTTTTTTTTTCCTTTAATAACTCATCTTGGATAATCGTTGTGCTAACAGGGAACTAATTCTAACAATCCCAGTGCCACTCCTTGGTCCTAACCTGGGGCGACGTGCTATCCTATCTGTCTGCCACTTATGAGTGCAATTCCCCCCAGACACTAGTTTCTGGTCAAATAAACATTTGTCGGGGCTGTCATGCTGCATCACAAAATGCTGTGGTCCAACACACCAACCACAGGGGCTTCCTGCCTTCCTGCAGTCTGCTTTTTTTTTTCTTCCTATGGTAGATCTGCCTCTGCCACCATCCACAAAGTGGGCAGAATTGGAGCTCAAAAGGTTTTTGCATGTCTGATATGTTTCCCCCTGTTCTTCTTCCCTGTCCCTTCTCTCGATTTTAATTTGGAAATGTCCAATAGCTTTTATTTAATGTGGAAAAAGAACACAGAAATAAATTATTTGATTTTTTTAATGCTGTAAACTGGGTTATCTTGTCTGTTTGGGTGGAGTGGTTTGCAAAACCGTATTCACACTTGATCTGTATTATTAGAGAGTCGGATTCAGACGTCTGAAAGAATTGTTTATTTGATCACATCCTGTTATATCTACATGAAGAGACAGAAGTGTCACTATTTTACATCACACACAGACAGTATTATTGCATATAAACAGGCAGTTGTACATTAAGCATATCAGATGGCTCAAAGTTACAGAAAATACATTTTCTTTAAACGATAGATGAGACCTTGGGTTAACGTTGTTACGAATATTGCTCAAATGAATAATGTTCAAATGCTTGTTGCATCTTTTCACCCTGGTCAACAGCAGAAAAGTTCTAATGAAACCACGTTTCTCTAAAACAAAAGTAACAGCTTAAAACTTGATCTGACTACAAGTCCCTGCATTTCAGCGGCGTGACATTGTGAGCTGAAGATGCTGGGCAAAACATCTTGTATATCTGCCTTTGTCTGAATTGGATAAACACACTGAGCTAGTTAAAGACAATTGACTTGTGAAAATATTAACTTCTGCCCATAGACTGTATGCAGTCTGTGCTCCTGCCTTAGTATCTTTGATGTTTGTGCTTTTCCGGCCAACAGATACAGAAAAAAAAATGTCTGGTCTGTGTATGAATAGGTGTCATGCACCTACAAAAAAAAAACAAAAAACATTTTGCAAGTGTGAAGAGATCATATCAGAGTTAGCTGTATTGTACATCAAAATCTGTTGTATGCTACATACTTTTATAGGATGATGGTATTTTGTATATGCTTCTCATAGTAACTTTTATGGACAAATGACTTTGAATAAAACATACTTTTACACAAAATTCACATTTAAGCCAAGAATTAATACAAATGACTCGTATGTGACAGTTTATATAATGATTGGAAATCATGTCTACAGCAATGACTTCAGTCAGTGGTCTAGAGAAACAGGTTGACATTTTGTGCAATATGCTTATTGTTTCTTGCCGAGAGAAGATTGATACCTGTCAGGTAAATGGAAAATGGGGACAATTAATTAGCTTAGCATAAACACTGGAAACAAGTGAAAGAGCTGGCCTGGCTCTGTGCCCGGCAGCGCCTCAGAAACCACTTAGTAACGTTGCAGCTTGTTTATGTTGGCAGTTGTAAGGCAAAAGGGTGTCTACATGTAAGCGTTTAAGGTGCCGGCAGGTGTATTCCAGTTCCCTTAACTGCATCCACGTTTCCCTTACTTGCATCTTTTCCTTGCATCTTAGCCCCACCCACGTAAGATACAAGGAAAAAAAAAATGCGAGGAAGGAGGAATCAAGGAAACGCGTCTAAGAGACATGAGACGTCCTTCATCTCAAGTGACACAAAGACACAAAACAACAAAATATTGGCTCAAAACAATAACAATAAAAGACAAAACTCTTCCGGGGGGGGGGGGGGTCTTGCTCTTATGTAGGAGGGTGAGAGGCCTTTTACATGTCTGTGCTCAGGGACCCATAATCTGTTCATGCAAATGTGATGGTAATTATTTGGTATGTGGTTATTATTCCTTTAAATATTCTTTAGCCAAAAAAAAGCTTTATTTACAGTAACATGGCTGACCCCAAGTCAGCTACATATATACAGTACATATATTTACATTGTTTATGTGATGTCACTCTTCTACGGCCCTTTTATTACAGAAATACCACCGGTCCACACTTTCCCCTTTACTCCAGAAAGCCAGCAGCACTTTCATCCTACCAGTACCCTGTTAATCCATTTTGTTTTTACAAGCAGCAATATTACTTTTTATGCATCACACCAGCACTGCCAGGCCATTAGAGTCAACATCACCTGACAACATTCAGAAAAGTGCTCCTGTTGGTAGAAAAGAGGAGAATACAAAGCTGACCATTGTGCAGCCTGCCCTATACTCAGTCACACTCTGCGGATCAGATGAGTCATAGCCAAACAGCCCCGGGTGACTGGAGATGCGGTAGTCATAGCAATAGTGGTGTTTGCCAAGCATTGGCTGTTGGTCACCAAGACAAGGAGCCCATAAGGGTCTTATCAGAATTCATCCTCAGAGCTGTCGGCCAGCAGCATGGTCTGGTCTTGATGGCCTGTGTTGGGCTCTCGTGGTTGCTGGGGAGGAAAAATATACTAAATGCTGAACTTAATGCATTTGGGGGCCCACAACATATGGGAAAAGGATACATTGGATACATTGTGGCTGGTTTTCAAAAACAAGTGAAACGGGTAATTAAAAGTGAATAATAGAAATAGGGTATTGACCTCTGGTTGTCTGACCTTCCTCCTTTGGTGTTTGAAGCTGTTTCTCCTCTTGTGGTGAATCATCCTGATGCTGTAGAGGGCACCAACAATTAGCAGGGCTCCCATGATGCCGATGCCCACAGGGGCCAACATCCCAGACACATAACCCACCTGCCGAGGGCGAGGACACACGGGTCACAACGTAGCACAGCAAACATGACTAACAGGTACGGTAAATCAATTTAATCTCTTATACCCAAAATAGTAAAAAAAATAATCTTCGTGAAGAAAGATCAACTACACTGCCTTTAAAAGACAAGTCTGTATTTTTGTCGTCAGCAAGTTCCATGAAAGAAATAAGTTACTGTATGTCTCTCAGTACTTTCTGACTTTCCAACCCTGTCTGTCCCTCTCTGTTTGAACACAGGCTTCCAAATTGCTGTTAACTTTTTAAAAACCTCAATAATTTTCATATAGTGCATTTACTAGGAACAATCCCTGGCCACGGATTAAAACATTTGTTGCCGTAGTGAGTATTCATGACCACAGAATGGTGTATGAGTAAAAATTCATTAGCGAGCACACATTCATAATGAACACATCACCAACTGCAGCAGTGTAGTTTCAGAACAACCCATATTATGTTTTGACTACAAGGTCTTTAGTTGGAGTTGAATGTTGGTTTTGGTCTGTTCATGGGATTTGTTGATAAGAAAAAGAGAATATTGCCAGTTTTATTCTCAACATCAGTGAAGAAGCAAAGAAACACCTTTTTGACTGACTAAGACTTTTCAAGGACAGCAGGGGGCAGTCTTACCTTTTCTCTGATCAGTTCTACCCAGCTCCGCACTGGAAGAGAAGAGTCATGGTAATATTGTACACAACTATTTATCTCTTACAGTGGTAGTGGGTTAAATGTTGTGTGCAAATGTGTGTGTGTGTGTGTGTGTGTGTGTGTGTGTGTAGTTTTTATGACCACAGCAGGTGAAGATATATGAGCACTAATTGGATCTGTTCCAAGGATGAGAAACAGATTTAGAAACCATATTCTCCATACTCAGCCCCTGGTTGTGTTGAACCCAGACAGGAGGAGGAGGGATGAGGCTGTACGGAGGCTGTGTTGAGGATGTCGTAGGTGTTTCTGTTAGGTCCTCATCACTCTCATCTTCCAACGATTCCTCAGAGTTCTCATCCTCCTCTGGCTCCTCTGTGGAGAAGACAATTATCTAGTCAACAGTCAAAAAAGCTCACATTTATGAGTGAACATGAAAAAAGGTTGTGGTGGGGCTGTAATTTAAACAAATAGTTTCACCCTGGGTAATAAAACTTGTCTTACCCTCAGACATCCCCTCAAACCCTGATCTGATTTTGTGCACAGGCTGATGAGTTTCCATGGTAACGGTCCTCCTGGCCTGCTGAGAGGATGAGAGGGAGGAGCCAGTGGTGGGCTGTCTCTCTTCAAGGTTTGGTGTCCTCACAGCAACTGTATGTCACAAAGGACAAAGGACAAGGAGGAAGCAAGAGAGTGGACGGTCACTCAGTGTAGAGCTGCAACTTTTCATAGCTTATTTAAACATCTCATGTGGGAGAAGCTATAGAAGATCCATTTTTAGATTTCGGGTAAAACTGGCTGGTTTGTTGTAATCTAATGAATAAAACATTCACAGGTCCATCTTCAGTTTACCCAAGCATGTACAAAATACGTTGATGACTGCCTTTTGAAATTGGCAGCACCATCATACTTACAAATTCTTCTACAGTACAGTACGCACAATTTGTAGAAAATAATCAAGTCAGTCCTGACAAATCACCTCCCTCAGCTCCCTCCGGATGCTCCTCCAGTTCAGTTCCAGCACGGCGCTGTGAAACAGACAGACTTGAGGAACTGATTGGCTCTGAGAGCTCAGTCTGCCAAGGTGACGTCCAGTCTGGTACCAGCAGAGTTGGGGCATGCGAGAGACTGTCACTGTCTGTCTCCAGGGTGACCGGCTGGTGCAGGTCCACCTCTGAAAGAGGCATTCCTCTGGTCACCATGGCAGCAGGGGTCTGTGCACTGCCGGTCATCAGTGTGACCACTGCAGCTGCCGCTGCCCCCTCTGATGCAGCATCTTCAAAAATGAGAGGGAGAGCCTCTGATGACATGGTGCCTTCTGTGGCTTCCTCCTGAGACAGTGGTACTTCCGTGTCTGCTCCAGTTTGCGTCAACACAAGCACAGAGACAGAATTAAGGGCATGATATGTCACATAAGAATTATTTGAACCTTCTGGTAAAAGTCAGTGTAATACTTCACCCCAGTTCAGTGAGTAAACGGGTAAATTCATGGTAAAAGCTGAAGGTTTTACAGTTTCCTTACACACCACGTTGCCGACAACTATCATTAAAAAAATGTGTACGTTTTCTATTGCATAGCAACAACTCTAATCAGCATATAGCTTATTTAGTATTTATGACAGCAAGCATTTTTTTTAAACAGGTACATCTTTTTTTTTTTTAACAGTTTTCTGATTAGTAGAACTGAGTTTACAGTGCGGCTAAGACAAAGTGAAAAAACTGTCCTTTTTAGACAAGTGGTAAGCACAAAGAGGTCTGTCACAGGAGAAACTGTTACTGAATACCTCTCAAACATTTCCTCAGTCCAAAGAATTTCTAACGTAGGCTGGAAAATGCATATAAAGATTGCAGTCCTTTTGCATAACATCAGTTTGGAAATTGAGTTTTTTCTTTTTTTTGTCAGTATCTTTTCTGTTGGGAGGATGCTTCATCAAACAGACAATCCCCATACAAACAGCAGGAACACATATTGGCTCAGGCAGACTCCTTTAATCCATTCCCTCTCCTGCTTCACTGAATAATAACCTGCCTGGCGCTTTAGAAAAGGCTGGACGGGGTGTGTGAAGGGTGGGAAAGAAAGAGAAGAGGTTTGAGGGGGGCATATAGATAGAGAGGGAGGGGCTAAATCCTCCACATACCTTTATAACACACAATGCCACAAACAAGCCTTTTCCTGGCAGTTGTGCTTTCTCTTTTTTTTTTTTTCAGGAAGTCAGGAATAGAAAATAATTAGACTGCCAGAGGTCCCAGCTGGGGTTCAAAGTGGAGTGTGGAAAAGCGAGTGCCTTCTTTGCCAATCATCAAAGGAGATCTCTGCTGCTAGATGTGTCGTTTTCATTTCCACTGCACGTTTTAATGAAGTCTCCCAAAACCCTCCAAAATTCAGCAAGTTGTTGTAGAAGGAATTAATAGAGTTGCAACGACTGTAGAGCATTACCTTACAACACTTTAGAGGAATTCTGTGGCTCTTAAGATTGCAATTAATGACTAAGGGGGGATTAGAGAAAGTTTCACCCCAAATAAAAATTTACCGGTATGTGCATGTCTCTAAAATCAGTTATTTCTAATTTTGCTTAATTTACCTCCACCAGGTCTTGCTGCCTCAGTCCACAGGCTTTCTGGTCCGTCCTCTCTGGGCATCAGGTTTGGTCCAATTTCAGGCAACAGGGGGTCTGGGATAGAGGGTATTGCAGCGCCATCATGGCCCCAAATTGTCAAAGGTGTGGATGTCCGAGAGGAGACAAAGACAGAGGATGTGATGGGGCTTTGGGAGGTGAGGCTCTGGATCTGAGCTGAAGGATGCTGAGGTTCTGTAGAAGATGTCAAGCTTGTTCTGGGGTCTTTACTCTGATGGGAATCACCAGGTAGTCTTGTTCTGTCCTCCCCACCAGGGTCTTTGCTCTCCCTGGCTGTGATACTCAGCAGTAGTGGCGCTGTAAAGGAAGCTGAAAATCCACCTGGAGTCAGTTTTGGGATATTCATGTCTATGTCCAGCTTCTTTCTCCCACCTGTAACAGTTGATTTCTGCTCATCCATTACAGGTTTGTAAACCTTAGTAGTCACTGATCCCACAGACAGTACCGAAGCTGCCTCCGACTGCCCTTCAGCTTCTCCCATCTCAGATGTGCTCCCGACTTTCTTTATCTCCCTTCTTTGGCTCCATGTCTCTCCGCCAGCCGCACTCGGCCCAGATTTTCCATCAAGGCTGTCCCCGTTTTCGGCATGCGTCATTGGATCTATCCCCTCAGGCCGTCCATGTGGGCCAGCCACTCCTCCTACATCTACATTTAGTATCATGCCAGTCACACGCTCTGCATCTGAGGGTACAGACTTTACATCTGTGGTGTGCGATGACCCAGCACTTCTCAGTGAGCTGGCACACTGTCTGTCACAGTCGTTGTCTTGCGTGGGAGTGAAGTCTGGGAGAAGGACAGCAGTTCCATAGACACCGAGACAGGTCCCAGCCAGTAGGAGGTGATGGAGCATCCCAAACATCAGCATCTCTATCTTGTCTCAGGGCCTGCTGAGGGTGGATGCAAGTGATAAATGCTAATAGGTTTAACTGAAGTGTGAATAGGCCCTACATACAACTTCTATGCTTTGTCACCCAGCAGACATGTGGGCAGAGACAAAGCAGAGGTGGTTGTGCCTGGGAAGGAAGACAGGTGACAAGGCACATTACAAATGTATGCAACCGCTGCTTAAAAGGCTGGAACACAAATTATATTTCAACCGAGGACTTTATATATTCTCTGAAAACCACAGACAACAGGATTAGCTCAACATTTCTGCCTGCCTTTACTTTGATACTGTAGTTGCTCTGTTTTGTATAGTTCAGATGAAATGTGTTTTCATCTCTTTTGTATAAACAGAAGGAAATGCTGGACACACACACACACACACACAGAGAAATTGACAGAGAGAGACAGGGAGAGGAAATCTGACACAGCAATTCTTAGCACCCCTCCGCACTTCACCTATAAATAGCACCACTTTCTCTGTTCTCTACAATCCTCTACAATAATGAATGAATGTTACATTTTACACAGATCTACCTGGCTCTGAAGATATGGAAATCTGCATAAAAGATATATACATTACCACATGCTAACGTGGATCAAGCAGCTAAATGTGCCGCATGTGTTGCTTCACGTGATGTGACATCAACCATCCCAGCTGTAGAAAACGAAGACAAACGAAATATCTGGAATGAACAGGGTGACACCCTTACATATTGCCCACCATCCAGCAATGTCACAATACCACCCACTTCTGTGACGATGCCCCTCCCCTGTGAGCAACACACTTAACACACTCAGCCCTTAATGTATATGCACATGCAGTCCCACTGACAACATGCTCGAGCATTTGGACTGTAAACACACTGCAGTAATAAATCACCTTTCTCTAATCTGACTGCACAACATAATCGTAGCCTTACATAGACTATGCATCACCCACCATCTACTTCTAGTAATTTGAAATTTACGTAACGTAACAATTAAAGTCGCATGTTGCAATAAATAAAGCTGCCTTTACCTTCCAGAGCTTCACTTGTAGTGTGCGGGGGGGAAATAATAATAGTGCAAGTTGTACGGATACAAATTTAGAGCAGACAAGTGTGGAAAGCAAGCCGAAGGAGAGGCTTGTTGTTGTGCAGTTTAGCGTCACCGACTGAAAGTCTCTCTCTACGTAGCCTACGTGCGCCAGCTTCAGAAGCGCTGCCACCAAATGCTTCAATCTGCAGGGTTTATTCCAACTCACGGGCTCCACCTATAATCTGGGCTAATCGTACAGTTCATTTCCTTGCTGTATAGTTCATTTTTCACCTTCTTCTATATTTTTTTCGGTATTTCCCCAAGGGTCACATCAGGTTCCTGGAAGCGCAGAATGGACAGCTCTTTATAACCTCAAGTGAAGGGTCGACTGCTCCACAGGCAGTAGGAGAGACGTCACATGTCCCCTATTTAATAAGTAGCAGTTTCCTATGAGGTCAACCTTCGGTTAAATATTTGCATTATTTTTTTAAAAATGAGCAGATTCAAAAATAGCACAGCAAACAGTACAAGCTGGTGTGTACATGACCAATCAGTAGCAACCACAAGTAACACTTTTCAGTTATACTGGATTCATTGTTTACTGCCTAAGTGGAAGAATGATGAGGTGAGACATCAAGACACGATTTGGCATTAACAGTTAGCGGTATAGTGCAGGTAACTTTGCTTGTGTTTGCACTGTGACTCCTGTGGGGACAGAGATATGAGCCTTAATATAAAAACTTGCTGGACAGCATGGCAAAACTGGAGTACTGTATAGGTTTATAGTGTTAAGAAGAAGTATAGTTTGAGCATACTGACGAAGTTCCAGCGACCCCCTGTGGCGGTACAGAGAAGTTGCAGCATCCAATATATTCACTCAGTTTACAGATGTTTTAAAGAAGGCTTGATTCAACTGGATAGCCGTTACTAGCTTACTGCATGGCCTCCTGCATTATATAGAGAAGTGTTTGTGTAATTTAGACTAGCCTCTTTGACATAAATGGGTTGGGCAAAATAATAATGAGTGAACTCTTATCAGCATAATGATTTCAGTTCAGCAGCATCAGAGACTACATCCTCCAACATGAATCAACTTCTCTAAAACCATTTCAATAAACACTCAACAATATTACCTTCATAAAATGTCCTTAGTGTCCTAACCTTAGTGTAACTAATAAACAACCAACTGAGTGTATAAAACAACACAACACAGTTCAGGACAACAATTATATCTCCAATATATATAGTAGTAATTATTTAGAAAGCCAGTTGAAATTGTACTTTGAACTTGGTGGTGTGAAATTGTGGGTTATTTATTTATTTATTTATTTATTAAGTCTGCACCTGGCTTAATATCCAAAGTACGTACTTTGGCCTCCACCAGCCTGATTTTATTTTAAGTGTCCTTTCTGGCTTTTGACTCCTTACCTGACTCCAAAGGAGAGCTGCACAAGAATTCCTATATGCCTAGCCTGTCTGTTTATGCATACAGTACATAGCAAATAAAAATCTCGACTTGACTTATTGATCATATTTTGATCAGGCAACCTCATAACGTCGTGTGACGTCAACGCGTTTCTGAAGACCCAACCCAACCGGAAGACTGATTTCTCATCATTTTGATGCGATGCAAATCTGTGACTGTCAACAATACGTTCACTAATCTTTTTGCCCAGAGGCGAACAGATTGATACAATGCCCTTATTTGATGTGTTGGGAAGTGGAGGAGAGAAGACTGCGATCGTCATTGATTTAGGAGCAGCATACACAAAGTAAGTATCAGTCGTTAGCACATCTTAAGAGAGCTTTGAGGTTAGCATAATATGCTAACACATATAGTGTGTAATGAATTTGTTTTCTTAACTAACCGTCCGAGTACGTTGGGTCTAATGCAAGAGTTAAACCTCACAGTACTTGACACATAATTGTATTTACCGGTAGCAAAGGTTGTAGCGGCATTAGCTGGTCAGCTAAAGTGTCAATACCAACTTGATATGGCAGCTTTTAGCTAGCTTCAGTTAGATTAATGCCAAATTAGACCTAGGACCAAATCCAATAACGGAAAAAAACGACTGTAGCTAGTTCATCAACGTTAGTAACAACAGAACCAGCTACACTAAAAAGGTTTTTGAGCGTCCTACATGTAATCATTTCGTAAATCCAGACGAGGAGCGCATTTAAAGCTAGCTAAATGTAATCCTTTCAGAATCATTTGAACGCACTGAGAAGAGTTTTATTATATTGGACAAAAATTTTATTACATTTCCTCAAATAAAAGAAATGTTCCTTACTAAAACACAATTGCCATGTTAATATTGTCTTTGTACACAGTTCACTAGCATTGCTTTTCTTATAGTAACCAATGTGTAGGAACCTTGAAAAGGTTACCAACTGCATTAATCTTGCTAGTAAATATTATTGAACAGTGTTAAAATGTTAACCTTAATCTTGTGTGCCTGCCCTCCAGCCGCTCAATGACAGTTCCCTTTTCTTGCAGATGTGGCTTCGCAGGGGAAACAGGGCCCAGGTTCATAATTCCAAGTGAGATCCGGAAACCAGGACAACAACAGGTGAGGCATCACAGTCCTCACGTGGATTCACACGTGGATGTGGAAAACGCTAAATGTTATTAACCTGTATGTGATGTCTCCTTTTCAGGCCATCAAAGTGGTTCAGTACAACATCAACACAGAAGAGCTTTATGTCATTCTCAAAGAGTTTATCCATATACTATACTTCAGGTAAGATCATTGTTAGTGATTTAAAAAAAAGTTACGTGTTCCTCAACATGAAAAAAAGGTCAGTAATCATATATGTAGATACTGTAATGAATTAGTAGATGATTGTAGTGTTTCCATTTTGGTATTTTCTGTCATCATAGAAGTTACTGTCAAAAACCTTTTCTGTAATGAAAAACTGATAATAATAGCCTATATACAGAATATACAGACTGCTGTTAGCTGGAAACTGTGCTGCAGTCTCATCAAATCAAAGTTTGTCTTCCCATTTGTCTTAACCAGACACTTGCTCGTGAATCCTCGCGACAGAAGAGTGGTCATCATCGAGTCCATCCTCTGCCCATCTAACTTCAGGGAGACTCTCACCAAGGTTTTCTTCAAACAGTTTGAGGTACTACGACAAATCAGTTTTACAAAACAACAGCTCTTTGGAAAAAAGTCTGTGTCAAGCATGTCAGTCACTGGTAGGACAAATTTATAATTTAATTATACTTGTTTTTCACAGAAATGTTTAGCAATGAGCATGAAATCTGACAGCCAAAATATGTTGTGTGAGTCCAGAGTGTACATTGCAGTTTATGTAAATTGTGGTGTTTCCAGGTGCCCTCTGTGCTGTTTGCCCCTAGCCACCTCATGGCCATCATGACTTTGGGCATCAGCTCTGCTCTAGTGATGGACTGTGGATACACAGAGACACTGGTGCTGCCTGTATCTTTTTCCTCCTGAGTCTCTGGCCGAAGCAGGTTCATCCCAGATAAACTGACACTGTGACACACAAACATGTTTCGTACTGTTGATAGATACATTTCTGTGATACTTCTGAATTTGTAAAAAGGAGCTATATTGTAGTGTAATAAATGTTCGGTTTGGGATTTAGATGTTACCACCTTAACAGTGAAATCAGGTTTATGAGTGCACTCCTATTTTGCCAGCTTGGGAGGCTTTGCCTTTGGGAGGAAAAGCCATCTATAAGTAAGTACTGTAGCTCTAACAGATATAGGAGTGTGTGACTTCTCATGATTGTCCTATTTTGTTCACCATTGGCTGTACAGAGAACATTTGTTTCACACTTTCTTGTGCAATGAACGAAAGTCTTGTGACTATAAAATGGAACCTTACTTAGATTTGTTATTTCCCTCCATAACTGCATGTGTCTGTATTTATTGTAGAGAGTTAGATGGACTACTTGTGGAGCAGTGCACCGTGGACACTGACATCACCACAGGGCAGAGTGTACCAGCTGCCGTTGGTAATAACAGAAAAATACCCTACACTGTGTGTCTTATTAATGGTTATCTCTGATATGGACTGCTAATTGTTTTTTAAAACAATCACTATGGAGAGATACTCCCCTTCAGTACTGTACTTTACATTTCTTGTAAACTAAGGCACTTGTAATCTTGTTTACCTAGTATGAGAAGTTTATATTATAAAGTATGTTGCATCTCACAGATGGTAGGTTGCCTGATGTGAAAAAAATAATCATGATAACATTTCATGTTCACTCAGTTGACTGGGCTGTTGAATGAACTGCAGCGCTGTAGTAAGCAGGCTCAGATCGGGATCAGACCTGAATTTGTTTTAAACCGGTCTTGGCTATCTTTTGCTGCAGTATCAGCTCCTAGTTTCCACAATGCTGATTCAGCCTCATCGTACGTCTAATTTGGTAATGAGAGAAATGGCTGATTTGTGTGTCAACGAACCAAAGAAAACAAAGTTCCACTACATTTCTTATGTCTCTTTTTCATCTTTTCCTCAGGGACCATCCCAGAGGAGACTGTGGAGGATATCAAGGGTAAGTTTCACTTAGGTTTTGGATTTAAAATCTTCACAGGCTCCTATGTGAGGATAATAATTATTACTTCCACCAAAGGCAGAATTCCCAGAATAAAGTAGCTCAAACAAGTCCGAATATTAGTGAGACCCATTATTTCAGCCACAAATAGAGAAGCTTTTGAGTTCACTCAAACTGAATTAAGCCCCAGTCATTTAGCCATCTCGCTGTGGCTGACACTTCAGTTATCATTCTTAAACCTGAAATAATACCCTAGCAAAAGTAACCTGCAAAATTTGTATCCACAAAGAATTATTTTCTGATTCAAATAAGTGTTTATTTGATGCTAATACAGTCCATGTCATTTGTATAATCTGTGCTTTCACTGAGTTTTAATGTGCTTTTTTAAAAATCTTATAACCTTTTCAATCATTGCTGGTCATTGACATAGCCCATAGTTATAAAGGAAATGACTTAAAATGTTCTCCCTCAGTCACAACCTGTATTTTAGTTTTAAGTATACGCCTAAGGTTTTGTTTTGTGTCCTGCAGTCAGAACATGCTTTGTTAGTGACTTGCAGAGAGGCCTCAAGATCCAGGAAGCCAAATTCAACCTGGACGGTACAGCAGAGGTGAGTGAGTTGTTTGTACATGGGTTACCTCGGCTGTTCTTAATTTGTAAACCAGTGTTTACATTAAGGAATGCATTGTTGTAAGCCATGGAAGAACTCCTATTTCTTTTGAACGTGTTTATAGCGCCCAGCTCCTCCTCCAGATGTTGATTATCCTCTGGATGGGGAGAAAATCCTGCATGTCAAAGGATCAATCAGGTAGTTCATCCAGATATGCACTTTACATCTGCTGTTAGCTTTCGTCTGTCCTGTTTCATCACAGATTTCTTTTAGTACTAGAAACTCTTAGCACTCTCATTTTAATGTGATTGTGTCTTCTTTAAAAACATTTTTAGCAGAAGTATGTTTGAATTTCCTATACTGTCCATCTTTAGGAAATGTGGATGTGACTCATGAAAGTTCCTCTTTCTTTCCAGGGACTCTGTGATGGAGATGCTTTTTGAACAGGACAATGAGGAGAAGAGTGTTGCCTCTTTGATACTTGACACTCTGGTCAAGGTAGAGGAAAAAGTCATTCGTATTGTGTATATTGGAATGTGTTAACATTTATGAGCAGTCACTGAATGCATTCAGATGTTATACTAACCACAGACCTTCTGTAGATCTAATCAGTTTAGTGTGACCTTGCATGGCCCTCTACAATCAAATCTAATCATCTTTGCAGCGTGGTTGCCAAAATTGTTTTAAGTTTATAACAATTGTTAAAAGCTCCAGGTATTATTCAGTATGATTAACTATGTGATTAATTCATTTGTTACACATTATCCTGAAGCATCCATAGCAACTTGTGAGGATTTTCTTCATAATTTCACTGATAAGATTGCCAACATTAGGCAGCGTTCTGGTGTCTCAGCTTTGGAGCCATCTATTCCTCCTGTATGTTCAGCTGTGTATGATTTGAGCATGTGTCTCCACCAATTCTGTCAGAGGTACTTCAGCATGTCAAAACCTCTCACTGCTTTTTGGATTCACTGGCTCCCATTTCACTTTAGAATTGAGTTCAAGTTGCTGATTTTTTTAAACAGATTTTCAAGATTTGAAATGGCCTGGCATCTCCCTATGGGATAAACCAGTTAGATTATTGAGTCAGTACTAGAAGTACCAAAGATCTTGACCCCTAAACTTTAGAATAATCTGCTTCTTAATGTTAGATCTGTTACAGATCTGGCTGTTTTCAAATCTTTGCTTAAGACTTTAATTTTCTAGGGCTATACAAATGTAAGTGCTATACAAATACAATTTGATTTGATTTGTGCCTTATCTGACATGTTTTCATTTGCAGTAATTTTACTCAGGGTGTATTGAAAAGGCATCCATAGAGCCTTGTGCACAGAGGAGACTCTGCAGTGAAACTGTGCACAGCAACTTTTCAACACATTTTCTTTTAGTCTGCACCTGTCCTGATGTCTTCATGGTAATCCCCCTCTAATCTGTCACATCAGAAAGTCAGTTAAGTTGCTAAAGATGTGTGTGTGTTTCTGTTTAGTGCCCCATTGACACCCGTAAAGTGCTCTCTGAGAACCTGGTGGTGATCGGAGGCACGGCCATGCTGCCGGGCTTCCTGCACCGTCTGCTAGCAGAGATACGCCTCCTGGTGGAGAAACCCAAGTACAGCAATGTACTGGCTAGCAAGAGCTTCCGTATACATGCTCCCCCTGCCAAGCCCAACTGCACCGCCTGGCTTGGAGGTTAGATTTTATATCAATATTTATCACTACTTGCTGAGCTGAAGGCTTTCTGAGTGAACAAATAATAAATAAATAAAAAAAGAGTATTGGCAATAAATATTTTTCTAGCATCAGTATATCAGATATTGTGTTTAGCCTTGGAAACTCCTCCTTTATATTCTGTCCTCTGCTCAACAGGTGCAATCTTTGGGGCCCTTCAGGACATCCTGGGCAGTAGGTCGGTGTCACGGGACTACTACAACCAGACGGGTCGCATCCCAGACTGGTGCTGCTTGAGCTCCCCTCCTCCAGAGTCTCTGTATGAAGCAGGAAAGACCCCTCCTCCTCTTATGAAGAGAGCCTTCTCCACAGAGAAGTAGAATGTAGTTTAACCCAGTTCATACAACGTACTCACCATTCCACTACTTGATAGAGCAGTAATGTAACATGTCAACACAAACCCCATTCATGTGTTAACTATACAAACCGCTCATGAGGTTTTTAATGTCCAGTAGTTACATCTAGGTTTTTGTATGCAGTGATTGTGAACTGTTTGATGATCAGGTGACCTGGTTTTCTGAGCTTAGCAGACAGAGCGGTTATTGAGACTTTAAGCATTTACACTGATATTACAGTGTTAAAATTGGAAATGGTTTCTGTGCTACATGCAGCCATGTCTGATGTGATGAGCAAGACACTGAACCTGTATGTGCTTGCTCTCACACGCGCTACAGTTTGCTCAGCAGAAATGTGCCAGATAACAGTCTGGTTGACTTTTAGTCATCCATTTGTCACAGAATAATAGAAGATGTTGCTAGGCTTTGGAGAAAGTTGACGTTATTTCAGTGCAATTATGAGGAAGTGTGGAAATCCCACTTTGCCAGTAATACACCATGGAGTTTTTCCCAAAAGAAAAAAACAAACATTTATTTATTATTTGTACTCAACTCTTTAAAGTGGTTGAAATGCATTAAAGGCTCTACACATTCACACAGTTGTATGAAGTTATTCGTGCCAATTTGCATCTTCTCAGGTTAAAGTTTCATTTAAAAGAACAACAAAATTGTAGGTTGTCTCACTCTAGCAGGTGCATCAAATGTAATAAGTGGGTTAGGGAGCTTCAGATTGGAGAGACATGTTTCATCATTTTTGTCCTAGAACAAAAATTGGTAAGTGGTTTTAAAGAAATAACCAAAGCAACAGCTTCATTATCTTGTAGATAGCTTATAGACACTTCACCTAAACCATGACGAACATTCGGATTTCATAAGTTGTGACACGGTCTACGCTTCCAGAAGCTATAAAACAAGTGGACTAATTTGTGATGCTGCACCAGATTCTCAAATAATAACAATATCGAGTTTAAGTGTTATTTTAAATCTCGAAATGCAGGTCCAAATTGTACCCTACTGTATCTATGAGCTGTAAATTTACACAGTATCATATGGAAATACCATGTTTTATCAAACCTCAGGCAATTTTGATTTCTTTAACGTGTAAGAGGAAACTGCACGATGGATGTCGGCATCCTTTTGACTATAAATGCACTTAACACAAAGGATTGCATAATGTACAGTATCTCATTGCATCCGTAGAGGATAAGGTGAAGGAAAAAAGTTACAGCCGCTTGGAAGCTGCATCTTTTTGGCCTTTTGGGTCACATTTATCACTCGGTGTTGGTTTGTCTGGCTACTGTAGACTTGGAAGCCAGTAGCATTATGCACCTGCAGCACAAGACTGGGAAAACTGAGACCTTTTGGATTGTGATCACAAGCATCAAAACAGACAATAAACATGGAGTGTAGAAGAAATAAGAGCAGCATATGGTCAAACTACTTCCCCAAATAATTCATCTTCTTAATTGTTTTCTCAGTGTATGTGATTTTGTTATTTTGCAGGTGACTATGTTATAATTCCATGTGGTGTATTTACCCTCTTTCAATCCAAAGGAGGTTTAGAGAAGAACTTTGTTTCTCAAATGATAGTTGATGTTTTAGGCTGTGAAGCAGGTGTTTGGGCCTCTATCTGTGGTTGTAGCAGTTACCATGTGTACTCAATTTATTCTAAATATTTAACTACAAGACAACCACAGCCTTGCCCACATGTGAACAGCTGGACATGCCGAATGGTCCTGGTTGGGACTGCACTCTGTAGACCTGTGTTCTCCCACCTGCTGCCTTTGCTCCAGCTGAGGGCCACCTCATCCTCCCACAGTGAAGACTTTAGCATTGGTGTGGTTCCCAGAGACAGGAAGCAGCTGTGCGTCTGCGCGAGAGTCCGAGTACGAAGAGGACTACCTGGAAGGTGGGTGAGCCCTGTTTGTGAGCGGTGTCAGCAAACTGTTTTTTTGAAACGGTTGAAGCAGTTAAATTCTTTGCACATTCTTTTATT